GGAAGATTTATGGAAGAAAGTGCTGAGAAAAGGGTGTCCGATTCTAAAGGGATGAAGCGGTTCACTGAGTAACCAAGACCTCTCACAGGGGAAGGGGGAGCGGTGCAGAGAGGGGGAAGAGAGACCAGGTGGAAAGGGCAGTGAGCAGAAGCCAGGAACTCTGTTGTGACCCAGGGTCCGACCCTCCTGGGACCTACACCAGCAGAGCTAGCTTCCAGAAGGCAGAGATATCGCAGCTCTAAGGGAAGGCAGAGTGAGCTATGCTCCTGGGGAAGAAGGCAGAGACTTACTAACATCAGGGGAAGAAGGTTTTACAAGTTTGGTTACAAGTTTGCTTCTAATATAGGAGCCATTTTTATCTGATGGACTGTCTGACCTCTGATTATGAAAAGTGTAAAATCTCACCTGGAACAATATGTATGGAAGTGACATCTTTGAACCATCTTAGTCTCAAGAAACCCCAGCCTTGATTCCCAAAGGGCCTCCTTCCTTGACTAGAGCTGATATTGCAGATCTTGGGGTGCAGAAGAGAATGCCTCAAATTCTCTTGAGCTGGGGACTCAATCACGTTAATTCAAAAAGCATTTATGCATTACTCAGTAAACATTTTTAGGCACCTACTATGTGCCAGGTGGTATACTAACTGATGAGGATACAAAGAAGGATTAAGCAGTCCCTCACAATTGTTTTTTCTTTATAATATTGCTGTCTTCATTGTTCTCTGGGTTCTGCTCAGTTCACTTTGCATCAGTTCATATGGGTCCTCCCTGATATTTTTTAAATATTCCCTTCATCATTTCTTACAGCATAATTATATATCATTACATTCTCATACCATAACTTATTTAGCATTCCCCAATTGGCATCTCCTTCATTTCTAATTCTCTGCCACCACAAGAAGAACTGCTAGAAATATTTTTTCTACATATGGATCCTTTTCCTTTTCCTGTTATCTCTATTGAGAAAAGATCACGTAACAGCATTGCTGGGTCAAAAAGCATGCAAAGTGAGGCAGCTAGGTGGTGCAGTGGATAGAGCTCCGACCTTGGAGTCAAGAAGACCTGAGTTCAAATCTGGCCTCAGACACTTAACACATACTAGCTGTGTGACCCTGGGCAAGTCACTTAACCCCAATTACCTCACCAAAAAGAAAAAAGCATGCAAAGTTACACAGCCCTTTGGACATACATCCACGTTTTTCTCCATATTGGTTGGATTGTTCACAACTCCACCACTGGGGTATTACTGTAGCTGCTTTCCCACATCCCCTCCAACATTTGTTATTTTCCTTTTCTCCCATCTTACCCTATCTCATGGAGGTGATGTGGAATCTCGGTTGTTTTTTCCTTTGCATTTCACTAATTATTAGTGATTTAAATAACTCCTTCATATGACAATTAATATCTTGGATTTCTTCCTCCAAAAATGGCTGTTTGTATATTTTGACCATTTATCAATCAAAGAATGCATAATTTTGACTCAGTTCTCTATATATTTGAGAAATGAGGCCTTCACCAGAGAAATTTTATCCAAGTAAAAATTCCAGCCCCTCAGTTTCTTGATTTTGTTTAAATTTTAAAATTTAAATAATTTTTTTTATTTCATTTTCATTTAATTTTAATGGCTTTTGGCTGCATATTGTTTTGTTGCATGAGACTTTTACATTTTATGAAATCAAAATGACCTGTTTTATCTTCTGCAAGCCTCAGTCTCTTGTTTGATCAAGGACTCTTCTAATGAATTTCCTTAAAGTCAGAAATAAAGTCTTATCTACATGAAAACAGGAAGAGAATTCTGAAGAAATATTAATCACAATCTTAACCAAACTGAACGGTATGAAACTGTTTCCATGCAGGTAAAGAAGAGATTTGCTGTGGTTGAGTTGTTTCAGTCAAAGCTAATTCTCCATTACCCATTTGGGGTTTCCTTGCCAGAGATACTGGAGTGCTTTGTTATTTCCTTCTTCAGCCCACTTTACAGATGAGGAAACTGAGGAAAACAGAATTAAGTGACTAGTCTAGAGTCATACAGCTAGTAAGTGTCTAAAGCTGGATTTGAACTCAGGTCTTCTTCCACAACCTTGTCATCTACCTATTATGAGTTATATATTCCTATGTGAGGTAAGAACCTTTCATTTCTTTTAATAGTATGGGGATAATTGGGCAATTACACAAAAACTTGTGAAACCAGAACGTAATTCTGCTATTTAGTGAGGTTAATATCATAACCGTCTCAGTTTTGTGTCAATGAAAAGAACAACATACACTTATCTCGAGAGAGGAATGGCTTGTGGTCTATCTTATGAGTGGCTTACAGAGGAACCCACATTTACTAGGGCTTATTCATTTGATCATGGCAAAAAGCTGAAAATGTTTTTTATTATAAAGAAGTTTCTTGATATGCACTGTTTTGAAATTGATAATGTATTTCTATATCCCACCCTGGAACCTTTGGTATATTTGAAGTGAACTCTAAATAAATTCATTTTTTTGTAGCAGAGTCCATCTTCTTATAAAAAGTGTTCTGCTATTAATTTCTTAGCAGATTCCCATCATCCTAATGGGGAAATAAACAATGGCAAGTATAAAAATTGGGTTCTAAGTTTTGGTTTGTATCTCAGTTTCTTAGATATATCAATATGAAAATTGGCTAACCTAAAATTGTAAATTCCCTAGTCTAAAAGCTTCCAAGTTTGACTTTCTAATAGTAGAGACATATGGTTTGAGGTAAATTTCACTAGTTGACCTGGTTATTGCAAAGTTAATTTAAAATTGTGTTAAACCCAATTGCCTAGGATCTCTATAAGTGACCTGAACCTAAGAAGCCGGTCAGCTGGAAACTGCTCTAAAGACCAAACCCCAACCAAAGGGCTGCATCTGATGGTGTCTTGAGAAGCAAACATCTATCAGAGATGAGACTTCTGAGTCTTAAATGAATTATTTGATTTTACTGTTTACTTTTTCCTGTGCACCCTTTCTCTGTAAGGTCTACGTGATTGAGCGGACTGTCCCCTTTGATTTTGTCAACGCAATCAGTCTCTTTCCCTCTACCCCTCACGGTGTTTCCCCTTCTAAGCCCCATCATTAAGAAACCTTGATGAAGTATTTGTCATGTCACTCACGGATTCATTGAGAAGACTAAAGTCTCTGTTCTGAATAGGTCAGTGCAGGGCCCAGGACTGGACGAGCTCAGGAACAGGAATGGTCGGGGAGGGTCCCTTCGTGCCAGGCACAGCAGAGAAAACTGGAAAGCGGTTCGGTAGAAATCAGGCTTGGACTGCCAGCCTCTGGCTCCTGCTGCACTGACTTCAGAGAGAGGCTGGACCTGACTACAAGTCCCCCGTTAAAACCTCTAAGAAAGAAGCTGGAGGAGGAGAAGGAAGGAGAACCACAATCTCAGCACCCCCAGACCTCCTGAAAACGGATGGAGAACATCACGGCCCAGCCTGAATCCAGAGTGAGGCCTTGTTCCAGAGCAAGTCAGAGTAGAGGGACCACAAGTTCTGTGGACGTCAGGGAAGGGGTCTAGTCAGGAAGGGCATTGCTGAGCATTCCAGACCAGGGAGAGGCTGTCCAGCAGGCCAACAAGAGGCAGCGTAATGCTCAGACCGAAACACAGTTCAGGAATTCTCGGTCAAAAGGAGGAGGAGGAAAGGGAATCTAAGCATTTGGGCGGCACTGAAAGCTTGCCGGCCCTTGGCATCAGCTTTGCCTGAGATCCTGGAATAACAGAAAACTCCATACCCCAAGAAAGCAGCAACAAGATGATCGTGGACACTCCCTCCGGGATGAGGAGAGAGCCTGGCGCTGACATCAAGTCCGTGGTCAGAAGGGAGCCTGGAGGGAGAAGTAAAAAATAAAGAACCCCACCACAAATGTTACCTCGGTGACGGAGAGGCTCAGGACACAACTCGGAGAAGAGAATAACTTCACACCATCTCCAAGCAAAGCCTCAAAGAAAAGCACAGTGTGGGCTTAATTTCAAGGAGAATTTCTGCAAATGAGCATGTAAGAGTTAAAAGAGTAAAACCATTTTTAAAAAAGTATATGAGAACACTAGAGGGAAAAATGGAAAAGAAATGAGAGTTGAGGAAGAATCGAAAAGAGAATTAAGGGCTTTCCCCAGAGTTACAGAACTTAGCCAAGTAACAAATATATGGGAAAATACAATAGGCAAAGCAAAGCTATATCTCCATGAGACAATGAAAAATAATAAAATGAAATCAAAGACTAAAAAAAATAGAAAAAACTGTAAATTATCTCACAGGAAAAAGTACTAGCCTGGAAATTAGATTTAGGAAAGAGAATTTTAGAATCACTAGGTAACCTTAAAACCATGACCATGCATCTTATTTCAAGAAAATATTTCTAAAAACATTGGCAGGTCTCTTTAGAACTGAAGGTCAAACTAAAAGTAGAAACAATCCACGGCCTAACTCTGGAAAGAACCCTGACGAATGAAAACTCACAGGACAGTCCTGGCCACCATCCGTAGGAGAGGTCTGTTGTACCTTGGTGACAGAGGAGCTTGGGCTAGCCCCAGTCCTGGCATAGTCCCAGGGCGGTGGCTGCTTCCTGAGCTCTCAGCCCACAGCCAGAGGGGGATCCAGTGGCTGATCAGAGGGGGACGGCAGGGATCTCTTTGGTGGCGCCGAGGCAGGATTCTTTTGCTTTGCCTGTGCTTGGATCTGGGTCACAGTTCTGGGTGGCGGTCCTAGGGCGAGGAAGAGTGACAAAGAGCTCCGGACTTGGGGTCAGGCTTGAATCTGGCCTCAGACACTCATTAGATGTGTCACCAGGGTTGTCCCAGTAAATGTTTAACAAACAGCTCTCTGGGAGGGGGGTTGTATACACAACACACTTTTGAATTTAATCTACATTCAAACATTTTCTCCATCATTTTCTTAGTAATAACAATAGCAAACATTTATACGGAGCCCACCATGAGCCAGGCCTTGTGCTAAGTGCTTTACAATGATCTCATCTGATCTTCAAGAGAATATGGAGAGGTAGGTGCTATTATTGTTCCCATTTTACAGATGAGGAAACTGAGGCCAACAGAGCTAAAGTGACTTGTCACACAGCTATTAAGTGTCTGAGGTGGAATTTGAACTCAGGTCTTCATGACCCCAGGCCTCTTGGTCTATCTGCTGGACAGCCTGGCCGCCCCTAGACAATTAACCAAACACTAAATCAAGAGCTGATTTGAAGCATTTGCAGATATCTGAAGTGTCAATGTTCACACTGAAAATTTAACCACCAGCTCTCCCACACTGGCAGGAGCCAACTCCGGTACACTAAGTTCTGTCGGCCTCAGTTTCCTGTTCTGTAAAGTGGGCATAACAGTAGCACCCATTTCACGGGCTGGTTTTGAGGAGCAAATGACCTAACACATGGAAAACCTGTGTAGACCTTCAAAGTAGACCTGTTGGACATTCGGGCCCTTTTTACGCCCCTTCGGGAGACCCCAGAGGTGAGCCCCCCCTAAGCTTTAAGTGGCGGGTCCGTGGAGTGTCAGGGACCAAAGCCCTGGTGAAAATAAAGCCCTAACCCTCTCCTTGGTGAGGGGGCGGGGCCGGAAACTGAGCCAAGACCAGTCAGAGCTCTGGGCCCGCCCCATCCCCGGGCCCCGCCCTCTCCCCTCTCCCCTCCCACTCCATCCTCCCCTGGTCCCGCCCCATCTCCTTGGCCCCGCCCCACGGTCAGTGGTTCAGGCCCAGCCCCGCCTTGGGCGCAGCCAATTGGAATCAGCGGCGGACCCCACGTGTGCCTCGCCCCGCCCTTCTGCCGAGTACACAGGAAGCGGCCTTCCCTGGGAACTCCCGCAGCGGTCCCTCCCCTCGGCCTTGTCCCAGGCCTTGGAGGAGGTTACGGTACCCTCTTCCCTCTGGGTCTGCTTGCGCAGGCGCAGTTTCACCGGAGACCAACTGGCCGGGGAGAGAGAGGTTGTGTTAGGTGAGCTGTGGGGGCGGGGCGTGAGGGTGGGCGTGGCTCTGTTGTGGGTGAGCTGCTGGGTCCGAGAGAACGTGGGAGGGGAGAGGAGCCCGAGCGGAGGCTGGCTGGGCGGGACTCCCCCTTCCTGTCCCGCGTGGAGCAGAGCTCAGTCTGGCCTCTGTGCTTGCAGGTCCCAGGTAGGTTGGCCCAGGCAGCCGTGCTGCCCTGCCTTCAGGGCTCCTCCTCCCCCTCCCCCTCCTCCTTGGTGTGAGGGCCCCCGCTGCGCGCCCCCTAACGCTGCCAGGGTCTTCCCCCTCTGCAGGTTCTGGGGCTCACTTTGCCCTAGGGACCCAGGAGTCCTGCTTCCAGCCCCCTTTCAGGCTCCAGGTGTTCTGTGTCCCTGACCCCATCATTAGGGGTTGAGGTGTTCTCCCTTCCGACCCCCCTGTAATGATCCAGGGTTCTGCCTGCCCCGAGGACCCCGCTTTGGATGCAGGACCCCTAGCTCCTTCCTGGCCTCCCGGCTCCTGCCTGGCCCCTTCTCTGGCCCCCCAGCTCCCGTGCTGCCTAGAGAGAGAGAATCAGGAGGACTTTGGATAACCATTCAGAAGTTCTGCCTGGAGACAGATCAGCAGGAAGCCTCTGGAGGTTAAGCTAGCAGCCTTTTCCAAGGATTGTCCTGCTACAGGATGGAACTCAGTCCAGCTCTCGCCTCATGCACAGCAAACGTTTGCAAATTCGTCAGGTTTTACTGCTTTGGGAGTCCAAAGGGAGTTTATGAGTTTTAGTACTGAGGAAACTTCATCCATCTCACTCACCTCCCTCCAAGATCAAGAAGGCAGTCTTTTGTGTAGATACTGTGTGTGTGTGTGTGTGTGTGTGTGTGTGTGTGTGTGTCTGTGTGTGTGTGTTAGTTGGGGAGAGGGGAGGCAGGGAGGGAGGGCAGAGGACCACCTGGAGAGAGACCTGATTCAGGAGCCATTGAGACTCTGCTTGGTCTCATCCCATCTGGAATCCCAAGCACCTTCTGCCCCCTGGGTCTCTGATGGAGGATTGGGGAGAGAAATGGGGTAGAAAGGAGCGGGAGAGGGAAGGAGCCTTCCTGTTGAGGCCATCTTCATTTCCAAACCAGACCCTGCCTGCTTTCTCCCTCCCTCTGCAGGTTGGGGTCTCTGCCCTGAGGGCAGGGCGGGGTCTTTGTAACACCTGTGGGACCTCACTCTCAGTAAATCCCTGTAGACCAGCCTGCTGCCCAGGAAGATAAGGGAAGGACCTCTGCCCCTCTGGGATCCTTCAGCCTCCCCAGCTCAGCCTGCAGAGGACCAAAGCCTGACCCAGCAGGGAGCCCAGAGCCAGAGGGAATGGCCCCTGGGAGCCGCAGACCCCCAGCCCAGGTGAGTGCACTCTGTCCTCAGCCTTGACCCACATCAGCCAAAGAGGCCTTTTGCAGACACAAAGAGGATTGTCTACGAGACTGGCAGTCCCCCACCTGTGGATTGTTTCTTTACAAAAGTAAGCAAGGAATTGAAAACAGTAGTAACAACACTGCGTTGATCTCTCCTGTGTTTTGAACTGATTCTCAGCACTCTGGCATCACAAGCCCTAACTACTCCCCTCCCCTCTCCCAGCTGCTGCCCTCCCTCCCGTGTTCATTTTTGAAGTTTTCCTTTTTGATCCCTGAGTCACAAGGACAACCACTTCCCTCATTCCTCTCTCTTCTGCAGGGGTCTTGTCTTTGCTTCCTTTATGTGTGCCTAGCACCCCTCCCCCACACATCCGTAGACCTGCTCTCTCCTCCCTTTGCTTCTTTGGTCAAGCTCTGGGGGAATTATTCAAAGAGCTTTCTTTTCTAATGGGGAAAGGAAGGTATTGAAGGAGATGCATAGTTCCTGTCAAGGAGGCATTAGGCTCAAAGGCAAAGACACAATGCAGTGACTTACTTTCTCTCCAAAATCCACTTTTGACTATCTTCACAACAACTCTGTATGGTAGGTATTCTTATTATCTTTGTTTCACAGTTCAGGAAACTGAGGCAAACAGACCAACCAGGGTCAGATAGCTAGTAAGTGTCTGAGGCTGGATTTGAACTCAGATCTTCATGGTCTTCTACCATTTCCTAGCTCCATCAGCATGGTATTAGTGTGCCCATCTTCCCACAACTCCTCCAACGTTGACTGTGGCCATTTTTTTCTCGTTTTTGTCGATCTTGCTGGGTATGACGTGAAGCCTCAGTGTTTTGGTTACATTTCTCTTATTAGTGGTTTGGAGCATTTTTTCATGTGGTTGGGAATACTTGGCAGTTCTTTTGAGAATTCTTTGTTCCTTTCCTTTGACCATTTATCTACTGGGGAATGGCTGTTAGTCTCATGTTTATTAATTGTTTATAGATCTTGGACACCAAACGCTTATCACAGAAATTTGATACCAGAGTTTTGGTTTTTGGTTTTGATTCCCTTTCAAACACTTTCTTATCCTGCCTGCATAGTGTTGTCTCTGCAGAAGCAGCTTTTCAGTTTCAAATAATCAACGTTTCGCATTTTATTTTTGTGATTCCTTCTATCTCTTGTTTGGCTAAGAATACATCTCCTACCGGTACCTGTGAAAGTTGCATGCTCCATTTGTCTCCTAATTGTTTGTAGTATAATCTTTAATATTAAGGTCATATATACATATAGGAGGGGCAGCTATGTTGCATAGTGCATGGAAGCCCAGGCCTGGAGGCAGGAGGACCTAAGTTCAAATTGGGCCTCAGACATTCCCTAGCTGTAAGACCCTGGGCAACCCTGTTTGCCTCAGTTCCTCCTCTGTTCCTTCTGGCTGCTGGAGAAAAGAGGTTAGCAATAGCCTAAGTTCTTCTTTCTAGTCTCAGTGGATAAGCCCAACAGTTGATGTCTGCTGTGCCAGAGATCGCTCAGTGCTTGGGGGGCTCTGAAGGAAAGTGGAGAGAGAAGATGACACTGAATTCCAATTTGAAGGCCTGCAGAGCTCTTGTGCTGACCTCATTGTTGTATGCCTGTGAAAACTGGACAGCCTACCAGCGCCATGCCAGGAACCTGAATCTCTTCCATTTGAATTGTCTTAGGACACATAATTGTCTTAATCACCTGGCAAGATGAGGTCATTTCTCAAGTTAGACTTCCAGGCATTCACAGTCTACTGCAGAGAGCACAACTCCAACCATCGGGCCATGTTGTTCAAATGCCAAAAATGTGTTTGCCTAAAAGACTCTTTTACAGAGAACTCGTTCAAAGAAGGAGCTGACAATGTGGTCAGAAGAAGGGGGTGGAAGAACATTCCCAAGGTCTCTCTGAAGAACTTTGTAATCAGTTGGGAGAGATGGGAGACACTGGCAAAGGACTACCCAGGATGACTTGCCCAAATCAAAGAATGTGCTGTGCCGTGTGAGCAAAGCAGAATGGCAGTAGCTGAAAAGAATGGTGAGATGTGCAAATTCAGAGCCTTCTCCACCTCAAATGTTCACATGGACTCTTTGGGCCCCACCTGTGGTGGAGCCTTCTGGGCTCTACTAGTCTGATCATCCATAGTCAGACACACTGACCCTGATATAGTGATGTCATTTTGGTTTACTTTCAGCCCAGCAAACCAGAAAAATGCAATTAAATAGTATAATGAAGTATGTTTTATTCAAAAACAAAAACAATCATAAAGTGAAGGCATGAGATGTTTTCTCCGTGACACACCATACCCAGGGCAGCTTCAAGCCCTCAGCATAACAGATAACTCTCCTTCCCTTGGCTGGAAAGTCTCATAGCCCTCAGTTCAGTCCAGATTGTAAGTAGTGTGTCTCTAGAAGCCTTTTCATGTTTTATCTAGATGAGACTTGTTTTCAGCCTCTCAGGAAATTAACTAGATCTTTTCTTTTTCTTCTCTTTTCTTGAATCACACATAAATTCCACACCTGTCCCCACCCCAGAATACACTGTACTTGTCAGCTTCTCACAAACTCTGCACAGAATTTTCTTTATAACATGGCGGCTTTTACCAGTTCTGATATGGACGGGATTTCACATCATCTCTCTTTCTCCTCCAGAGATCCTTCCACCTCTTAGATAAAACACACACTTTGTCCCAGATTTTGAAGAGACACATTCCATAGTAAGACCTTTCTCAACTTTATTCCAACTCACCATATCAAATGCTTTTCTCAATATTCTGTTGGGTTCTTAATGACGATGGTTTCAGGTGTCGACTCTGACACTCATCAAGGGCACCACTTTTGGGTAAACCCCTTCCTGTGCCTCAGTTTACTTCTTTCATTTGATGAGAGTTAGACTACAGGAATCCTGGGGTCTCTTTCAGCTCTTGTGACTTTTTGATGATTTAGGAGCTGGTGACATTCCAGGATGTGGCTGTGGACTTCACCCAGGAGGAGTGGGGCCTCTTGGACCCTCCTCAGAAGGACTTGTACAAGGAGGTCATGCTGGAGAATGCCCAAAACCTGCTCTCCCTGGGTAAGGACACTTCCCCTGGCCACTCTGAGGCTACAATCCAAGGGAATATCTTCATTCCTGAGTGTGCTGGGTTTAAAGCGTTTATCAAGTACTAGAAGAAGGTGCAGAGTTGGAAGCATTTATCAATTATTAGAAAGAGAAAAGTGCTGGTCTCCTGTGTCCAGGAGACAGGGTCCCCTGCTACCTGGTTTTCCTATAAAAGGTCAGTACACTGTGTGAAGAGAACCTGGAAGTTTCCTGGTTGCTCCTGAAGCTGTCTCTGGAAACTGCTCTGGTGACTTTTCCTTGTGACCCCTTCCTCTTTGGCAATGGCCAAGTGTTTAGGATATTCTTTTGTTTGAGAGGCCTCAGTTTGCAGTTCACAGCTCCTACCTGTGCCTGCTATGGCAGATTTGTCCTGAATCTTCCTTTACACTGCCCCCATTCCAGCACAGATGGTGGGAAGGCAGGAAGGGAATAAGCATTTCTATTCACCTGCTGTTCACCACCTGTTGTACTAAATGCTTTCTTTACAATATTATGTCATTAGATGATATTATTATCCCCATTTGACATTTGAGAAAACTGAAGCACACAGAGGTTAAGTGACTTTTCCAGAGGGACACAGCTAGTAACTGCCAGAGGCTGGATTTAAACCCTGGCATTCCTGACTCCAGGCCCAGGGCTCTCTCCACTGCACTACCAGCTGCCTCTGATTTCTAGATAATGGAAACTTTGCAATGAGTCCTTCCTTCTATGCAGAAGGTGTGCGAAGACCAAATTTTCTGATTCCTAACTGGCTCTATGATCTTCTGTCCCACCTCTCCCCAAAGCTCCCACGCTAAATGCTGTGGAAACCTTGCTTAAGGAGTCCTGGGAACCATCCGGTGCTCCTTGTTTGCAAGCCTCTGTCAATGGCAGGAGTAACAGACTGGCCAAGACTCAGAATTTGGACTACCTAAGGTTCACTGAGTTTCCCAGCTGGAGAATCTCACCAGAAGAGGCAAAGACTCCCTGAATGAATGGTACCAAGGTGTTTATAGCTTTCAGGGAGTGAGGAGAAGCATAGGGGATAGGGCCAAAGCTGATTCTCCAAGCCTGATGGCGCATGTCCTATTTTGGGTTACTGGCATTACCAGCATTAATGGGAGAAGAAGCCAGATATGTGTGAACATGATGGAGTGATTCTCAAAATGCAGTAGCTCTGTATGCACACTGTTTTCTCCATCCTCATCCCTGATTCCCCATGCCCAGGGCTGCCAGTTCCCAGAGAAGATTTGATCTCTTATTTGGAGGAAAGAAAAGCACCTTGGCTGCTGGAGCGAGAAGGCCTGAGGAGCTGCTGTCCAGGTGAGTGAGGTGAAAGTAGGTGTGTGACAGCTGGGATTGCAAGAGGCTTCTAGGTGTGGTGACGAAGCAAGTGCTAGGTTTGGGGGCAGGAAGACCTGACTTGGAATTCTTTTTTAGATGCTTTTTAGCAGTGGGATCCTGGACAAGTCACTGCACAACTGAGCCTCAGTCTCCCCATCTGTAAAATGAGGAACTTGGCCCCATGGCCTTAAAGCTCTCTTCCAGTGGTAAATCTGTGATCCTGTAAAAAGTCATTGTGTGTAATTTGGAGGCATTGACCTCCCCTGAAAGTGCAAAAAGGGGTTAGGTTTTCCAATATGGGCTCTTTCTTAGACCTTCTTCATGTCAATGAACATTTAATAAGTGCCTGCTGTGTGCCAGACCCTCTGCTAAGCACCAGGGATCTAAAGACATACAAGGGATATCCCCTGATCTCCTAGAGCTCACAGACTGGGGTTGGGGGGGAGGGGGGCTGACAACATGCCAACAACATTGTCGAACCCTGTTAAGGACAGGACAAGTTGGAGCTCATTGAGAGGGAAGGCTCTCCAGTGAAGGAGGACTGGAAAGGCTTATTGTGGAAGGGGGGCTCTAGCTGAGGCTTCAGGGAAGCCAGGGTGAGCATTCTAGGCACAGGATGGTGAGGAAAGCCTGTGGAGTCAGGGGATGGAGTGTCCTGTTCACAGAAGAGAAGGGAGGCTCATAGCACTGCATTATACCATGCTTGGTGGGGATACAAGATGAAAGAAAATGAGAAGAGCAGGAGAGGGGTAGATAAAGAAGGGGTAGGTGATTAATAGCCCTAGAGAGGATTTTATATTTCATCCTTTCCCTAGGGAGCCATAGCAGGTTGTTGAGAACATGGTGACATGGTCAATCAAAAGTTTAGGAAGATGAACTTTGACAAATGGGTGGAGGAATGACTGGAGTGGGGGGAGACTTGAGGCAGCTGGGCCAAGCAGCAGGTTCTTGTAATACCACAGGTGTGAGGTGACTGGGGCCTGAACCAAGACAGTGGCAGTGTTGGGAGAGAAGGGGGTGAATGGGAGTGATGTCACCTAGGTGGAATCACAGGACTTTGTAGCAGATTGAATAGGGGGTCAGGAGTGTGACTGTGTGAGAGTCAGGGAGGGGTGCATGACACTTCTCTGCCTGCACTATTGGGAGGATGCCTTGGAGAACCTTAGGAAAGTAGGAAGATGGGAGGGCTGAGGGAAAGAGAATGAGTTCAGTTTGGATACAGTAGGAGAACCAGGAGAGGAGTGTCACTAAAACCCAGAGAGGGAGGGGGGTGATTGACTGTGGAAGGCTGCAGAGAAGTCAAGGAT